CCCCAAAACCCCAAAACCCCAAAACCCCAAAACCCCTCCGTTGACAATTAAATTGATCAAATGTCAAAATTCCATTAACTCTTATATTTAGCATAGACCTCCATGTTCCTTTTCATAATCTCTTCGACAGGGCCTAACAATCTATTGAAGCTTTCTTTAGTCAAGCTGACTGCTTCAAGGGTACTGGTGACAACCTCAATATTGGCAGCACGAGGTTCTTTCTTGATCAGGGCTCTTTCTCCAAAGTAATCCCCTGGCTTATACTCCATCACTGTTTTTAACTCGCCGTCAATATTTTTGGTTGCTTTAGCCTCACCCTCGACGAGGAAGTACAGTTCTTTACCTTCCTCACCTTCGGTGATAATGCGGTCACCTTCAGAGAACTTGTGCTTAGTGAAAGCATCTGCGATAGTCTGTCTCTCGTATGCGTCCATAGTCTGTAAAATCTTAACTTTTTTGAGGAAGTCATCATACATTTCTCTTTTTCTAACAGCCGCATCTTTCACAATATGGTTGAAAGTCTTACGATCAAGTCCCCATAGTAAGCATTCATCAATAGCAGTAATTGTTGCAGCTCTTGGTGCGTTATAAAGAAGAGCCAGCTCTCCAAATGCTCCTCCTGGGCTGTACACTATTAGGTTAGTTGGCTCAGTGTTTCCAGGGAAAATCTTGCTACATTGCAGTTGCCCTGTTTCAACAACATAGAGATAATCACCGTCATCTCCTTCCTTAATGATCACCTCTCCAGGTGCGAGTTTTACTTCTGTCATAGCATCGATTACTATCTCGAATTCTTTCTCATCCAACGAGTTAAATAGGAAGGACTCACTGAGCCTATTCCTGATCTTGTGCTTTGTGTCGTCATTCTTAGGGACAACAACAGGTGAGAAAGCGCTCTTTTTGTTCCAACTGCCAAACGCTTCAGCACTAACAGAAGTCCTAGGCTTTCTGTTCATTCCCTTATTTGCTCTCTGGGAGATCAGGGAGGGTATTATCACTTTCATCCCCGCTACTTTCAGTATCACTATCATCAGGGTAGTATTTTTGATGTGTAGTGACTTTAGACTCTTCCTCAACTTGTGGAGCACCTTTCCCTTCAAGTCTGATCAACTTCGCCTGCAGATATTCGTACTCGTTCCTTAAGGCGTCAAGTTCCATTCTTTCTTGATCAGTCAGAGGATCATTATTGAGACCCTGGCATTCTTCTAAAACAGACAGGATCATTGGAATAGGATCTGTTGGTTTCCTCTTCAGTACCCGCTTGATAACTACTTCAAGGGGCTTTTTAACGTGGCTGTTAAGGTACTCTTTGGAAGGGTTCTTCTTTGCCATTTATATAAATTTATTTTAGTTTCTATAACCTAAATGAATTACGGGGTTTTGGGGTTTTGGGGTTTTGGGGTTTTGGGG